TAGAAAAAATCGGGTGTTCCGGGGGAAAGATCCTTTACACAACATGAGAAGCCAATGTTCTAAAATTACAAAAATTTACAATAACGACAACGATTCCTCGAAATTTTTGTGAACTTGGCAAAAGGACAAAAGAATATTTAAAGAAAATAAATAAAATTGCTTAAATAACCTTCAAAGCACTAAGTACGATAAATCACTGCGAACATAAATCGTATACACCCCCCGGAAAGTTTACTCTATGATTGACTGACTGACTGACTGACTGATTCGTGTGAACACAGGAGGCCCAGGCTCGATTTGCCCGCGCCCGCCTGTGCCTTCCTTATAACGAGGGAAGGAAGGAGACATGGAGACCAAAATAGCCCAGACTTGGCATATGTCACACGAAACTATCCTCGATTTTTCGCCTTTAATGCATATCTTTCACGGTTAATCGATATCCTCTGCAAGAATGATACCGTATAACTCTCAAAACAACGATGCTTTAATCAAATAGCTTAAATTCGCTCTGAAATCCGTGAGGGAACAACAAAATTCGGCCAAAATATATCCGCGTGCCGGGTTTGCTGTGCAAAAAGCGGAAGTCGTTGGAACAACTCAAGATACACTCAACCCTGATTGGATAACGAATATCAACAAACATTTCAATTTTTTTTAACAAACACAATGTGAAATACAATTTATTATACATATTAACGTACTACAGTAATATTTACATGCAGTATAATAAATATTTACACTTTTATATAACGTTTGTGAATAGTTTTGATTGTATGATTGAAATTATTACAGTACTGTTAAAAAAATTGAAATGTTTGTTGATATTCGTTGTCCAATCAGGGTTGAGTGTATTTTGAGTTATTCAATGACTTCCGCTTTTTGCACAGCAAACCCGGCACGCGGATATATTTTGGCCGAATTTTGTTATTCCCTCACGGATTTCAGAGCGAATTTAAGCTCTTTGATTAAAGCATCGTTGTTTTGAGAGTTATACGGTATCATTCTTGCAGGGGATATCGATTAATCGTGAAGGAAATGCATTAAAGGTGAAAAATCGAGGATAGTTTCGTGTGACATATGCCAGTCTGGGCTATTTTGGTCTCAATGTTTCCTTCCTTCCCTCGTTATAAGGAAGGCACAGGCGGGCGCGGGCAAATCGAACCTGGGCCTCCTGTGAAAGGATGAGCTGCAAGAAGGGATTTTACATATGGTTTAATTTAATTACAAATGCAGGCACGGATACGAAATTTTTAACGCTCTCACGGACACGCCATGAACACGAATTAAGCGCGCGCACGGACAGGAGTTAGTTTGAAGCGCAAGTCAGCAATTATACGCAATCCTAACAGTTTTTGTTTAAATGTGCAACTATTTTAAAAGTTTTTTTTTATATCTGTAGTCACTTTTAACCTGACGATGGAGTTATACTCCGAAACGTAGTTATTAAAATAATTTTTTACTAATAGCCTATATGGTCGATTAATTATTCAAATATACAGAATTGCTTAGAGAAATTTCCCTCATACAAGATATATATTGGCGAACATAAATAGTTATAATATATTATTATATACACGGACCTTCAAATACGGCAGTGGAATTGGATACCGTAATACCGAAAAGTAAATGATTTCCTGAAAAAAACAAAGAAAAATTTCCTGGTAAAAGTTGAAAAATAAAATGCTTTATATATTATTATTGCATTTAGTTATTCTAATACTATATTATTATTATGAAACAATATCTACCATCCAAATGCCAGGGTATTGACACCTCTTGAACCACTGCACCTTTCTCGCTTAGTCTCTCAGCTGATTTTCTCACCAAGTCATTCACATCTGTTTCAAAACTGGGATCAAAACCTTCTTTAAGTAAACCCACACGCTGACCTTTAATATCCCCTGTTAACTGCCGTTCAAATTAAATATATATATATATATATATATATATATATATATATATATATATATATATATATATAATATCAAATTCCACCAAACTCCACCTTATTTCCAAACTCTGCATGAAGAACGAATGAAACGATGATGAGAGTAGGGGTGAAGTGAAAGGGGTTTCAGGGGGGGCATAGTCACTTTTTCATATTTCATTCAGTTTAGGAGGCTGAGCCCCCTAGAAATTTTATCAAGACTGAAATAATCGTTTGGCACTATTGCACCATACAAATAGAGGTATTCCAATTCATTTCTATAAAATTTTGAAGATCATACCAAATGCTATTTTTCATATTCAGGATGCACTTTGTATAGTGATTGTATTTTCATGTCTTAATATGATAAAACTATACTTTATAATATTATTTAAAATGCAGGAAATAATTTAATTCAAAGGTTTAGGGCGATTCGTAAACCAAGGCCCTCCCTTGAGGAGCCCTCCCTTGGTAAAATTTTAGAACTGTACTACTTGATAAGGTGCTTGGAAGTATAGGCAGTAACGTAACCTCAATTAACAATTTCTTACCACTGTATTCAATTTGATTAATAGATCCAATCTTATGATTCAAAGATTCGTATTTTTAATATATAGGATTCATTAAGATTTAAATATTAAATATCTAAAAATTAGTATTTTATGATTGAGGTTCAATCGAAGGATTGAATTTTTCATTCCGGCATAGGTTTCGTGTCTTAATTCTAGTAAGACGATATAGTCTTGGACTACAAGACAGCATTCTTCGACTATGATTGTTAAAATTTCAGGACTTTGCATAATCGCCTTCCTGAAGTTATAGGGACAAAGAAAATAAACTTGATATCATGAAACCTGACATTGGATTTTACCTCTTTCGTATAGCTGGGTATCTTGAGATCACGTGGTTGACGGTGATCTAAGCCATCATCGTAACCTGCTATTGCCTGAAATGACAATTAAAGCACTACATCACAATCTACTACCGTCTTCCATGCAATGAGGTTCATTAGTAAAATATAGTGAAACGAAGATAACTTTTGACTAATCAACAAGTGTAGTAGGTACGAAACAATCGGTGAAAATACATACAGTATCTATTCATCCTTCCTCTAATGTAAAATTTAAGTACCTCCAAAAGTAATGCTGTATCATGAACAGTTTGCGCCATAGGTCCAGTATGATCGATAGTTGGTTCAGCACCTATAATACCAGTGTAAGGAACCAACCCAAATGTTGGTTTCAATCCCACAATGCCACACGTTGCTGCAGGCATGCGTATCGAACCACCCTGATCTCCTCCTATAGCCATGTCCACATCTTTATTGGCAATCTATTGAGATATATCAACATTATTGAACAAAACTATTATCGTAGGATCAGGGGCTGCCGAACATGAATTCTTAGCAAATTTATATATAACGAATCGGATTTAAACTAAGCTTAGTAACTGTAAGCTAATCTCCCACAAGCGGGACATGCTTGTCAGGAGCCACAAAATAGGGCAGCAGTAAATAATCGGTCAAAATTCGAGTGCTTTGCGCACGTGCAAAAAGAACGAAGCAGTATAACCGACAGATCATTTGTCAACAGCGAACATGCAAGGCAAAGGGCAAGACAAGATGGCCTTCACTTTCACAAATTCCCAAACGAGAAAAGAGAAAAATCTAGCGAAAAGAAAATCTCCATGATCCACCCACCCGTTAATATTACGCGTTGTGAGTGCATGAATGGTCTGGTGAACTATATATGTTGTTTGTGATTAGGGGTGCACCGGATTTCAAATCCTACCGGGATTCCGGCCGGATTTAATGAATTTTCTGGCATCCGGCATCCGGCCGGATTTGGAGAAAATCCGGTCGGATTTAAATTTCTGTTTTCACTTTAAAAAATTCACCAAGAATGGGATAAACCATCAATTTGGCAGCTTTAAAGTTTAAAAAACACTTATACTCTTATAAAATATATCTTATATTCTTATATTATTAACAAAAAGATATTTAAAAAAGGTTTAAACACAATCAAAAATCTAAACTGACACTAACTAAAAATAGTAAAAAACATAAACCGCCATTTTGCATACTGATTTATCCCCAATTGTCCTCATTACTGGTTTATCTCAAATCCAGCCGGAATTTTTGTCCAAATCCGGTAAATCCGGTTCCGGCCGGATTTGAAAATTCCAAATCCGGTGCACCCCTATTTGTGATGTTACTCTGAGTGTATAGACCAATTGCGAAACTTAGTGGCCGCGCCTTCATACTGCACGAGAACGAGGCTTATTATGCAAAAACAAAACAATTTCTATATTTTTATATAGCGAAAAGTGAATTTTAGGGGTTTTAAAGTGTTTTTTCTTTAATCTCTTTGATCTTTTCTTAATATTTCGTGCTAGGTTATATAAATATTTATATTTTTACCCGCTTTGGAGAGATATTTCGTTGTTGTTTTAGCATGCGATGGAACAAACATATGGAAAAGATCAATCTAGACTTTAGAATCTAATCAAGATGCAAATAAAATAGCCAGTATAACTTAACAAACTAAAATATAACTCTTTCTACCCGGATTTTTTTAGACTTCGTGCGAGAAAAAACGATTTTGTCAAAGGATAATAACATAAAATTTCTACAAATTTTGCCCTACGTTTACTTTCATATTTTTAAATTTAATATCGAAAACTTGCTATTATATTACAACTGAAACAAAATTAATCAATGTTACAACTTATTCTTTGAAATGTATTAATAAAACAGACGGAAAATACCTGATTCTTTCTCTGGTATAATCTGCCTCTTTTATCGGACGGCGAAAAACAGCAAAACTTTGCCTCGCACGCCGCGAAAAACAATGAAATTTGAAGTAGGACTAAATCTATGAACAAGTTTAATAAAGATTTACATAGTCAAAACAGAAATATTGAAAAAAAATAAGAGATTACCATAAAAACGCGTCTCAAACACTGAAATTCATTTTTCGCCATATAAAAATATAGCAGAATGATTTGTTTTTGCATTAATGTCCTCACCATTTAATAAATATATATATATTGAGATATTTAATATAACGACACGCATAAGAACACAAGGTTTGTGGGGTTATGGAAGTGTGGGACAACTGCTCTATATACTGTATTTTTTATCTGCGAAGAGCTGGGTGCTGAGCGGTTCCCAGGGCATATACTCGTATTGAAAAGCTGGATCTTGGGGAAAGTCGATTAGGACATATACTGATTTGCAGCTGGGTCCTAATCTGCCCAAGACATATACTTTTACGGATTTTGAGCTGGGTCCTGAGTCGGCTAGAACATATACTCCATTTAGAGCTGGATCCTAGCCTGCCCTGCAAGACATATACTCTGAGCTGGGCCCTGGGAAAAAATGATCAGGGAAATATTTCTTAGAACACTGATCTGGCTCAGCATGCATGGGAATTGGCTGTATGCCAGGTTGCCAAATTCCGTAAAGAAAACGTGAGGTCTATGGTAAAATTGCGACCTCATACTAGAGCAATTGCCTCCACAATCACACAACGATAGTGTGTGTGATCCCCATAGACCGACAAACAACGATCGAGTGTTTATCTCACTCTGCAATCAATCGTTTTGAAACGTCTGTAAGGACATTGATTGCGTGCGAATATATCTGAGGTAACAATCGGAAGACCATCTTCCTAGCGTTTGAATAAGCCAATGAGGCAAACCTTGGGACGCAGCTGTGGTAGCCGCTCCGATTCTAAAGCTGTGGCCTGCATAGTGAGCAGGGTGATGACCACCTTGGGCCAAAAGTGTTCGTAGTTCCTTAGTAAATTGACTACGTGATAAAGGAACACCGTTTGAGTAGCAAAACAATGGTCCCGCATAGTCGGTTGGCGCACGTGAAAGGTAGGTTTGAAGGGCCCTTACTGGACAATACATACCAGAATTGCTGCCAATGGTTATTGTGGCTGAGGCTCGAAACGGATCGGTTTTTGACGCTTTAATTCGTAGTTGCAGAAAAACCTCGTTATCCCCACGTTTTTTGTTATGAAAACTTACATCTGATCGGCAAAGGTTTGTTGAAGAATTATAAGGACCGGAGCAAGTCATTTCACCAATCCGCAAAAACCCGAAAAATGCTATGGAAATCGCTGCCCAAATCATGGTTTCATCATGTGTTGGCGATGTCCGTGAGTGTAATATGCGGTGAAACAATTTCAAATGGTCTAATGTAATTGGTAGGCGTGTTCTTGTAGACACTCCTTTTACTCGCTTTATACCTCGCAAAATATAGTGTAGGCGTTGAAATTTGGTGATTTGAAGGTCGTAGCCGTTAACCAAATGCATATGGCGTACTGCTGCGAGATAGACTTTGATGGTGTCTGGATTTACCGTCTTAGCGAGAAAAACAGCAAAGTAAATCAGAATGTTTTCCGTTGTTGGCAGAAGAGGCACATACTTATGTAAATGAAATTGATAGTAGAAATTCGTGAACTGTTTTTCGCCACTGCTATAAGTTTTAATCGTACCTTTAGCTAACGACGTAAGTCAGCGTCTAGAGACGAGAAAGTTCCTCTGGTAGAGGTTGAGGTTGATGGTCTGCATGCGGTGCTAGCCGCCGAAATCTGGTTTGCTGAAAACGGGAGATAGAATCAGCAATGTCATTATAATGACCAGGCACATGTAAGGCTTTAAAATAAAAGTTATATTTCAGTGTTTGTAAGGTTAAAGGACGCACTAAGTCCATAATACGAGGGCTTTTTGAACGTTTGGAATTGATTATGGAAACCACTGCCTGGTTATCGCAGTAAAACACAATTCGTTTTTGAGCCCATAAAGGTGCCCATATGTAGGAGGCTACCACAATAGCATAGAGCTCTTGCCAATCAATGCTGATATTTTTTGTGGTAAGTGTTTGGTGAGGCAACCATTTACCCTGAAACCACTGGTTGCGAAAAATTCCCCCAAAACCAAGGGTCCCCGAGGCATCCGTATAGAGAGAAAGGTTTGTAGAATTTTCCCAGAAAGAGTTGAGAAATAGACTTGTCCCATTCCAGTCTTTAAGAAAAAGTTGCCACATTTTTACGTCTTCGCGAAAACCATTCGTCAAGCGAATGTGATGATGTGGTTTGGAGACACCCCGTGTTAGATTTATGATACGTTGCAGAAAAGCTCGACCCGGGGCAATTACTTTGCATGCAAAATTTAATGTGCCAATTAGTGATTGGAGCTCTTGGAGTGTAGCTGACTTTTTTGTGTGCCACGAATTTAAATCAACAAATAGACGGTTCAATTTATCGGATGGAAGACGAGCCTCCATCTTTTGTGAGTCAATGATAATGCCTAGAAATTCTATAATGAGACTGGGTCCTTCAGTTTTATGCTCGGCAATAGGAACACCTAACGTGCGGAATGTTAACAACATGCTAGAAAGGCTAGTTTGGCATGCTTGAGAAGGTAGCCCAGCTTGGGCCGGTGGTTCCATGATGAGAATGTGCCCAACATAGCTTATAAAACACTTGTTGAGTAAAATCCATTCAAGTGCATCCGAAAGTTGATTGAAAATATACGGTGCACTACGCAGACCAAATGGCAACACTTTGTCAAAATAATAGGACTTGTTCCAATATATTCCTAATAACTCCCAGTCGTCAGGATGAACAGGGAATTGACGAAAAGCAGATTCTATGTCAGTTTTAGCTAGATAAGTGCCTCTGCCTAATCGGATTAAAGCCGCAATTGCGTCGTCGATTTTTATGTACTGCAATGAAAAGTCGTCTTTCTCGATAAAGGAATTGATTGATTCTCCCGTTTTTGGAAACGAGAGGTGAAAATGGTTCGAAATTTATCTGAATGCTTTTTAGGTACAATGCCAATTGGCGAAACCTGTAAATTAGCAAATGGCGGATTGGTGAAAGGACCAGCTGTGTGGCCAAGAGCAACGCTAAGTTAGTTGAAACAATAGTTGGATTGTCAATGGCAGACTTGAGGTTTTTCGAAAATTTTGACATGCGAGGACCATCGTAACCGAGACGAGCACCGAAACGCAAGTCTGAACAGAGTTTCAAAACGAATGATGAATTGGGATGCCCACAAAGAGCACCTTCAAGCGCGTCAACGCGAATTGGCGTAACTATAGTATTATCTAAAGGTATTGAATTACTGCTATTATATATACTACACTTTAAACTAACAGTTCTATTTTCTGTTGGTCTTCGCGGAGCTACGGGCGGATTGTGAAGGGTGGTCGTCGTTGTGATCGTTTTCCCCACGGGATTGTGGACATTGGTACCCAGGATGGTTCCCCCCACAGCCAATTCGGTTACATCGGTGAGTGTAAGGGCAATTGGGTCGTAATGGGCAAGGTCTACCCCTGTTGTAGCTGTGGCAAATTCCGTCCCTCGCTGCCCCAGCTTTGTTTGAGGGTCCGTTAGAAAAAAGGGAATAATCTTCCCGCAACTGAGTAGAGCTAGCGGTGAAAATACGCAACCATAACTGCATGTCAATGTTGGCCCACGACAATGTTCGACACGCGGCGGCTTTATAGCGAAATTTATGATCATATATGCACCAGCCTAAACCGCCATGCGTTTTTGCCGCATGACGGATGGTTTCCATGTACTGTAAAAGTTCTGATGCACGATTTGGAAATTTTTGTACTATGATTAACATATACGTGTTGAAAGCGGTTGTCCACTCTTCAATGTTAGTCAGCACTTGAGGCTTGCGCGGTGTTAATGAGATTCCCGTAGAGGAAATTGTGAAACCCACGTTGTCAGAAGAATCGGAACCAACATTTAACTTATTTAAATTTTTTGGCAATAATTTAGCAAGCTCAAAAAACTCACCACTTTCGATGTCACGAACGTATTTGTTTGGAATCTCTGGCGTGAATCCCCCATCTGCTTGCTGGATTGAGGCAACAGGTCCATGGGATGAAGTCGGCTGCTGCTGGAGCTCGCTGGAACTTAAAAATGGAAATTGACCAAGCTGTTCTAGCCTTTCGAGTGGCGTTGGCGGTGGCGGGATAGTTGGCTGCTCATCTACACGAGTCGCGGTTGTTGTGGCGTGTTGGCTTTCGAAGAAAGACGAAATCGACTGCGAAACAATCTGCGTGATCTGTGCCAGTTGGTCGGCGCTGAAGCTTTCCCTTGCGTTGGAATTAGATAACGTGTTGTTTACTGGAACGGTTTGAGTGTTGGATTGCGGCGTATTCGTGTTTAGACGTTCTCTTTCGTTTTGTAGGCGCGTTGTAAGTACCCGTCGGCCGCCAGCGCACGAAAAGTTGAGTTCGCGGCAAAGGTTTTTCAACTCTAAAATTGATAACTCGCCCAAATTGCTCGGTACTTCGACGGACGGTTGAATACTGGATGGTCGTTGATCATGCTGACGAACTCGTGATCGTGGTTTGCTAACTCTTGGCATTATTTTTGGTGGACGTTTAGAAATGATAAACGTGAAACGATTAATTTTTTAAATGACTCTTTAAATCAGTCTTTACAGCTCGCAATCCAAGTAAGAATGATATAGGCAGATAAAGCTAACTCGGATATCTGTCCATGTTTAACTATAGTTTCATTGTTATAGTTATGAATAGGTCAAACATAGTGGTTTGGACAATAATTAATAAACGATACTGGGTGCAGTAGCCTACGGGTTTGGCAAGCAAATAATGAAAGTCTGTGATAGAGTCTTCCTTTGTTTAGACAATAGTAGCTTTCGAGTTGGCTTAACATAGACATTTTAAATCTATAATTTTTAGGTCTAGCGCATTGAGTATCGTCCATTAACAATAATTTGTACTCGTAAAAATTACCATTAATAAGCCTCGTTTTCGTGCAGTTTAAGGCGCGGTCACTAAGTTTCGCAATTGGTCTATATCCACACTGGGCAAGCTTGAAAGATATCCCTGACTATACGGTGGGAATCGAACCTACGACATTTGGAATACTAGCCCAGAAAACCCCCAGAAAAAACCTATATATGTGTTAACAACGATATACGCGAGGACTATCGAAGAAGGACAATCAAATTAATAATCTTGTTATTATAAAATGAAATTATCGTGATGTAAATACCTAAACAGATTTTGTTAAAAATTTTTTGGTTCGCAATTGAAGCTTTAAAAGTGTTCCCAATGGTCAACTTCAGGCCCATAGACACAGGTTATTTATTGTAAATATAATCAGTCGAATCATAGAAACTGGCCAAAAGGATTATCACCCTTTGGTTTAGGTTAATGTTGGAGGGGATTATCACCCATCTGGCATGGCCCTATTTGTATATTATCACTCCTAGGGTATTTAGTCTCTCCTAGCGGGTCTTATATTTACGCCGGCCGGATGAAAACATAAACTACAATCAGTGACAAAAGGTTTTTGGACAATGATATAATATAGACATATCTGCGCCTTTCCAAATACTGTTCAGCATAAAACGACTATCCCTCCCTCCCCCACCCTAAACAATGTTGGGTGGCTGGCAAGAAACATTTTGCGCAGGTATTTCCACACACAACATTGAACGGGGGGTGCGGGGGTCGATTGTGTTGTAAATGTACGCTCTTTAGGTATTTTGTCCAAAGTTTTTTGTCACTGATTGTCAAAAACGTTACTCTAAGCCAAATGAAAATTTTAGTTATTGAAGCTAGAATTATTTGTATTTTATAGTATTACCAATGGTGTTTACAAATATTATATATGCCGTGTTTTGGTGAGCGTATACATGGATAATTTACGCATACATTGTATGTCATTATTCTAGTTTAATCATAATGCGTTTATGCACGTTTCCAGAACTACTCAAACATTAGGAACTTCGTAGTTTGGAACTGCAAGCTAAACTAGTGGAACAATTTGGAATTTAGGGCTAGTAAACACGTTCGGAAGCAAATGCAGTTATCTTTAAGTACTTATTACGTAACTTTTGTGGAGAATATAACGTCATCGTAAACATCCGGATTAATCTCAAAGCTGTAGTATTATAAAGCGCACAGTATATAAAACAACTATTTCAGATACCACGCGAGCATATTTGCTATTTCACACGTGATGTTATCAATGCATGTTGATAAAATTTAGTATATATTTCCCTCTTAAACGTTGCCAAAGCAGTAATGGCTACGGATACGAAGACGAGAGATTGTCTCACCATTTTATATTCGATTTTAAGTCGCTGTTGTACAGATTTTTAGACTTTTTTTGTGTTTTATTAAAAGTCAACAGTCATACATAAGACATACTATACTGCAAATCATTTGAAAATTGTAAAAAATCGGTTTCTAGGAAGAAAATAGTCATCACAATTATCTTCGTATTCTGGCTGGCTTTAATATTTTCTCTTCAGATGGCACTTCAGCTTTGAACATGTAACACAGATTTGTTTGATTAACATCACTGATTTGGAAATACGACTAGCATCTGCCATAAGTATGCTGACATTTTGCTATGAGAACATCACGTCTCAACCTATTAATTTCAATCAACTAATTGATTTAAATGAATAAAATTAGCGGCATCTACCGCCTTTGTGGGCGATTATCAACAACTGCTTGGTCACAAACTTTTTTGGGGAAAAAAACACAAACTTTTTTTTTGAAAAAAAAAACACAAACTTTTTTTGAAAAAAAAACACAAACTTTTTTTTGAAAAAAAAAACACAAACTTTTTTTGAAAAAAAACACAAACTTTTTTTTGAGAAAAAACAAAACTTTTTTCTGAAAAAAAAACAAACTTTTTTTTTAAAAAACACAAACTTTTTTTTGAAAAAAAAACACAATTTTTTTTGAAAAAAAAACACAAACTTTTTTTTAAAAAAAAACACAAACTTTTTTTTAAAAAAAAAAACAAACTTTTTTTTGAAAAAAACCACAAACTTTTTTTGGAAAAAAAACCACAAACTTTTTTTGGAAAAAAAACCACAAACTTTTTTTGGAAAAAAAAAAAACTTTTTTGGAAAAAAAAAACACAAACTTTTTTGGCATGGTAGACTTTACGGGTAGCGGATTGCGGAGTGCGGATTACGGATGCGGATTACGGATGCGGATTACGGATGCGGATTGCCGATTGCGGATGCGGATTGCGGATGCAGATTACGGATTGTGAACCCATGCAAATCGTTTATTTCTTCGGAAAAAAGCCACAATAATTGCCTGTAGCTACTTGTAGCTATGCTATGCCCCCTAGGAAATGGCTATATATGTCTTGGTTATAACGGAGTATATCTGTGTTAGAATGAAGCAGCCGAATATTTCGACAATAAAGAATAAATCAAGTTTGAATAAAATGAAACACTCAGATTCAAACATTCCGTAAGTCACATCGCGTGTATGGCGTGTATGGAGCTAATGAATTCATTGACCGATGACAAATAGTGACAAAGCAAATATAGTGACGTTTAGTGTTTACCGCTAGACGTACATCCAGGCTCTAAATATTTACTTTCAAGAAATATTAGGTAGATACACAGATGTTCATTTACCCTAATCACTACAAATGTTTAAGTTGTTAATAAACAACCTCAAGAAATCGGATTTTACGTATATTGTCAGATAGCTGGTGAATTCAGCTACATTTTGGTACGAGCTATAATATTGTATCTAGAATATTGAGCGAGCTAGAATTCGTTGCCTAAACGAGGGTGTAAAAATTGCCGTCGGAATACACATTCTAGTCGGACAATATAATGTCTGGTTTTAGGCATGAGGTTCAACCGCTTATATTAATTCGCAATTTAACGACATACACCCCCAACGCGGATGGTTTGAAGCTTATGAAAATGCCTACATTTTAGTTGGATTTCTATTCAGGTTAGTAGAAAATTCGCCGAGAAAATGTTCGCAACAAACTGTTGTTATGCCACGGAAATTCAAAAATATCTATTACATTTTCAAAATCTCGCCTTGCTGCGCATGTAAACACACGCATTTGAAGCTTTCAAAATATATAGTTATAAACCTTTAAAGATACAGTTGAAACGAAAACTTATTAAAATTGAAACGGCCTATTTTGAAAATAATGATTTTCTTGAAAATCCGCCATTGTCCATTGATTTTGCGTCCTCGTTTCACCGACACCGTATAATTATCAAAATCGAGTTTCAAATCAACAGTAATCAGTATTGATAAATAGTATTCACTATAAAAACTAACCTTCACTGTGTTTCCTCCAGAATATTTAAAATAAATAGAATATCATCAGTCTTGGCAGCCTTGCACAAAATCCGATTTCTTGAGGTTGTTTATTAACAACTTAAATATTTATAGTGAATAGCGTAAATAAACATCTATGTATCTACCTAATTTTTCTTGAAAGTAACTATTTAGAGCCTGGATGTACGTCCAACAGTAAACACTAAACGTCACTATATTTGCTTTGTCACTATTTGTCATCGGTCAATGAATTCTTTAGCTCCATACACGTCATACACGCGATGTGACTTACGAAATGTTTGAATCTGAGTGTTTCATTTTATTCAAACTTGGTTTATTCTTTATTGTCGAAATATTCGACTGCTTCATTCTAACACAGGTATACTCCGTTATAACCAAGACATATATAGCCATTTCCTAGGGGGCATAGCATAGCTACAAGTAGCTACAGGCAATTATTGTGGCTTTTTTCGAAGAAATAAACGATTTGCATAGGTTCACAATCCGCAATCCGCATCCGCAATCCGCATCCGCAATCCGCATCCGCAATCCGCATCAGGAATCCGCATCAGCAATCCGCATCCGTAATCCGCACTCCGCAATCCGCTACCCGTAAAGTCTACCATGCCAAAAAAGTTTGTGTTTTTTTTTTCAAAAAAAGTTTGTGTTTTTTCTCTCAAAAAAGTTTGTGTTTTTATTGATGGCCCCTGCGGGGCTCCGTAATTGTAAGCTAATGTAAGCGCATTTGAACACACTCCAGTTGATACTTATTACTAGAAGTTACCATCGCAAGGAAAGTGCTGTCTCACCCCCCAAGGGATTAGAGGCAGAATGCACAATTTGCTGAATAAGAGGCTGTTTGTATGATCCCGCTTTGCCATTACTCTCATGATATTTTTACATCATATCAAACTAAAACCACCCCCAAATAGATAAATAATACATAAAGGAAACCAAGTAAGTTATGCTTTATAATTTAAATATAGTAAATTTTTAATGCAAAATATAATAAAATTTAAAAATAAATAAATACCCACACAGGGCCTGGGCCACTCGTGCTTTTATATGAATACCTTCAATGCTTATAACTTCTTGCTTTTGTATGTATAATAACAGGTGGGAAATTTGTCGTCGCTGATCAAAATTTCGCGGGCAGAAACAAAGCTCATTGCATTTACATTCAAAACAAAGCAGAAAGTTAGCAAGAAGCTGTTTTAGCTGACGATTTTTTGCTTTCCATTCAACGATTTACAAATTAACGGTTATTCCTTTAAAAGTCAACTATGAATTCTTTGTTTTGGGACGATTTGTTTTGTAATCGAGTGATTGGAAGAAGTTAATATGGCGACGTGAACATGGGAGTAAATACCGTATACGTCGATCTGTGGCTTGTTTAAAACCGTAATAAACGAAGAAAGACGTGATATGAGAATGAAATGTAAGTTGAAATTAACTTTATATGCTTCAAATTTTCCATCCTATGTTTCTTAATGTAACTTCAGCTGTCTAAGTTCAAAATACAAGCTCGCGAAATTTGACAAATTTTGAAAATATGTAAAAATAACTTGACTTTGAACTGTATTTTCTCAAATATGGCCCGTGGCCTCAATTTCAAATATAGCTAAATGAAAAGAAAAAACTTTTCGGTGTTTGTAGGTATCAAACATATCGTCAGGAAAATAGGGGCTCACAATGTTTTAGCTGAGTTTTTGAGACCCAGTTGCTTCGCACGTGTTGTGGTCAAATTTTTGCCAAGAATCAAAGGCCGAAATGTGAACTTCCTTCATCAAAACCGGCTCGAGAAGGGTCTAGTTTGAAAATTTAGCTATTAATTTCGATTTCATGAGCATATTTTGGTTACACATTAAATATTTTTGTACTTGATGAGATTCAACATTTGTTGTATATTCAAGCCCGGCTTTAGTGTAATTTTGGTGATGAGCGGAACAGAAATAAAGATATTTAAAAAACTGGCCGTGGCCTCACGATAAAACTTTCTAAAACTGTTCTCTGTTTCATGTACTTTTATTTGATATCTTAGGTATAAGCGTAAAAATAGGGGCTCATACAGTTTACGAGGTTGTAAAATGCATGACTTGCCTCCATTTTTATGTAAACATTCGAAATTTTTCGACAGCAAAGTAGCAGCTGTTTCAGATCGAATGCACACGGACAGCCCACCAGAGACAATGACAGGGTACTGAAATAGAACGTCACTAAAAAATTCTGTATGATTAATTTAGATCATGTCCATTTTCAACATAAAACAGTAATTTATTTTGTACAAACATTTGGCAATATTTACACGATTGTGCCTTTTTGTAAACACGCATTGCGTGTATTCCACTCAATTGCGCGACTCATTTTGCTCGCGCATGCTCAGACAAATTTCCCGCCTGTTATGTATAATTATAATACTGTCAGTGGTGAAGCTAGCCATAGCAACAGGTCATGCTATGCAAGTTTTTAATGATTTGCTTCATCCAAATAGAAGTATGTTTATCAGCATAGGCATAGCATGACCAGTTGCTATGACTAGCTTGTCACTGAATACTGTACAATATCATATATTTATATATACATAAACGATAATAATACTTGAATGAATCATTGGACATGTAGAATTTAATAACAATTTCATGAATAGAAATACTATAATACAAAACTATCGCAGTACAACTGACATTTTTGTTTAATTTAATACATCAGCTTCAGATGACACCATTCATTTGTAATGGTTAAGATTGTACTAAGTCAGAACTTCAAAACTATATAATAAGAAAGAAATTGTGAACATTATCGAAAAAAATATAGTATACCCTGAAATGTAGTGCCATGTGAATACATGAATGTATTTTGTAGGCCGGTAGGATTATTTGATATTAATGCTGACGATGGACTTATCTCAGAGATATATTTTTACAGACCGTTATACCTTGTACAAAAGTCGTTTGACATGCTATTACATATAACTGCTGGTAAGTTAATATGTGCAGACAACCATGGGCGGTGTAACGAATTATGTAAATATGACGTAGACATAATTCATGATGTGAATATGATGTAGATGCAAATTAATTCGGCTGCTATAAAAAGGGGCAACCATGTGCTAAAATGAGAGAGAGCCATAAACGTTTAACGAAGAGAAGTGGCACGTGGTAGAAGTGGTACTTTGGGTGGTGAATTGAAAGTCAAAATGACTTGATAAGTTGTTGAAGTCGCAAGTAAATGATCTTCGGTGATCGTACTAGGGCAGCGAATGGTGGTGTCTTCGATGACAACCAGCGCTCTGATGAATGCGAAGTTCAATATATGGTAACTCAACCGTGATTTGAAGTTGAGCTTGACCACCGTCAAAGATAACATGAAAGGCTAGATAACTGTTCATCTATTCGCCGGGAAAGAAGTGTGGAAGTGCCGTGAAATCTTCTCTTCGAACTGGCTCGTATGTATTAGTAGATAATTATAGTTATCGTTGTTCAATTCTTCAAACAGTTAAGTAATAAAGTTTTCTTAAAATAAACATTGCTTGTGTGCCGGCGCTTACGTCGACGAATTGAGAAAAAATTCGTCACAATTGGTGGCAGCGGTGGGATTATTAACTGATCGGCACTGAATTATTTCTAAATACTGGATTTCTGTTTGGTTAAAAGAGAAAAATCGGGAAGAAGGATTTTTGGCATCCTCGTCCCCAGGCCCAAGCTCGGGCGGCCCTCACAGTGGCCCTGGGTCAGGCTGTTGATCTGCCTCGGAATTCCGACGCAGAGGCTTGGTCGCACAGGATATGCCTTTCTCCCTAAAAACATGGCGACCGCAATGAATGCAAGGAAGGCTTACTACAAGAAGCAATATATTTTGCACTTGTAAAAACAAATAATACTCAAATTAAGTTAAAGGAAGAGCAGAAAGAAGCTGTTCGTCAAATAGTAAATGGAAGGGATGTTAAATCGTTGATATACCAACTTTTACCTTCCATGTTCAACTACATTAATTCGAGAAAAAGAAATATTTCTGCCGTGTGAACAGAAACAATTGTAATCGTGATTTCTCCGTTAAATGCACTGATGGACGACCAAATAGACAAGCTAAAAACTAACATGGGTGTTAAGGCAGTTGTTTTACGCCATGATGATCATGATCAAGAAATGAAAGGTGTGTACAAAATACTTCATTTTGTTATTTTTGTATATAATACATATGTATAGACCCCTTGCCTTTTCTGGCAGGAAAATCTTTATGAAGCTCCCAATAGAGCTTATGGTGACATGTATTGAATATGCATCACAATATTATGGAGATCAATAAAGAACATTACATGACCTGTCTAGGAGATTTATCCATGCATGACAAGTGAAGTTCCATTTGACTAATCAGACATAGAACAGAGTGGCATTTATAGAAGTGACATTAATATTTAAGAGTATCATTAAGTTTCATCTATTCTGGATCACCATTCTAAATAAAAACCAACTGGTTGGAAAGTTTATTGAAAATATAATTAACATTAAGCAATCACTATGATTGTTCTTGCCATGTTGGGGAAATGTTTCCCTTATTTTTCTGGTCAGCAGCTATTAAAGTGGTATGCATTAAATAAATTTCTTTTTCTTTTTACAGCTTATGTATAAAAAAAGTATGGATGTAAGGCCTCAGAGGTTCGCCAACACATGAGGACAAAAATAAACAATTCAACACTGTAAAGTGTTGCAAAGTGCAGAAAGGCAAACAAGAACAATAGTCAAAAACAGAAACACCAGGCTAGTTATTAAAAATATTATTGCCCAGCTAATAATTCATAAAAGGGGCATATTCAAAAAACATTTGGTATATAAAAATATTTATTGAGTAATGTTTCATCACATTACAGGTGACTTGTTGCTTGTTTTTAACTAGAATAGTCAATAACTTATTTGAGGACTATGTTTTGAGGCAAATTTTAACCCATTGAGCTGCAATGAGCCCCAGTGCTTCCTACTTACTTTTTTTTTACTTGTCTAATGCTAGACGGTTTTATTTGTCAATGGGGAAGCTCTGCAGCTTAATGGGTTAACAAAAAATCTTACAATGTCTCTAGTTAACCCATTGAGCTGCAATGTGCCCCAGTGCGGCCTACTTATTTTTTACTTGTCTAATGCCAGACGATTAAATTACTTGTCAATGGAGAAGCTCTGCAGCTTAATGGGTTAATGTAATTAACTTTACATGTCAATTATAGTTATTACCTAGATGGTTTAATAACAAAGGTCAATAAATATGGCATTGCATGGAGGTAGAATGATTAATTGGTGCTTGTGTACACTGCAATGGTTTTCTTTAGGTTATGTTTTTGTTTTGACTTGTTATTAAACCATTGGTGAAAACTATAACTGATCTGCAATGTTTAGTATAACCAATTTCTTGTATAAATATTTATATTTGTAATATTAGTATATATTTATTAATAATCGTATATATTTTTTTGCATTAAAAAATTAAGAGCGATGACTGATGAAGAACATTGTGTGTCATTTACTATTCCTACAGGAAAGTAGGATAATTTTCTTATAGGAATTCCTATAAGAGGATATGTCATACTACAAAACCAGAATAGTCAAAGTGATGTATACTTCAGGGATGGATCCAGCATGATCTGGTAAGGGGGGTGCAACTTTTTTTAGGGACCCCTATTTAAAAAATTTTTTGGGGAACAAATTTTTTCGCAGAGAGCAATGACCTTTCCACCCCCCACCCCCCCACAACTTTTTAGGCAAAAAATTTTCCGGACGATTACGTTGCAATTGGTTTCCAGTGACCTTACCCATCTATCAACTTGTTCCACTACTGCAAAGTCTTGCTTGACTACAGTATTTGAATTGTAATTGTTGTTCACAGTTCGCTTATCATCATGTTATTACTCAAATTACTGAATCTCATTTTGTCTCTAATAAGTTTTTGCTTTATCATGAAAAATAGCACCCCCTGGCCATGGCTAGGGGGGTGCACACCCCCCAGTAAATCCATCCCTAATGTACTTTCCAGAAGGGTGTATTTGTTAATAAATATTTCAGTGACAGTGTTTATAAATGAACTTTAGCAACAGGTAGCTAAAATGCTTCTTAAGGCAGATTTCCAGTCCTCTCACGAAGCAGCTCGCTGCAATGCATGAGCACTTTCATCCAATCACAATGCTGAACTGTTAATTTTAATTAGATGCAAGCACTGGAAATCCGTCTTTAGACTTGACACATAACTGGTTGTCTGGTTAAATTATTAATATTTTGTATTCTCTAAATTTGCTTCAATAGTTCAATAGTTTGAATAAATAATTTAATTCCATCTAGAAAATCCCTTCAATATTTTGTGTGTGAAAAGCCAGCTTTTCACCTTGGGTTAATAACAATCGAGCTTGTGGTTTTCAAACAACACTGGATCCATTGACCATTGTGAACTGTTCATTGTGATTGTGCAAGCAGAACAAAATGCTGCCATTCACTTTGTGAATCAAGTATTTGATAAATACTAAATTTTTGTAGATTACATTATAATTTTATAAACTATTCAAATTGTCAAATACAATGTATAAACTTGCGTTGACGCAGACAGATAGGTGGAGGGCGACAATTTACACAATAATCTTGTAGACGAATTTACACAATCTTGTAGACGTTGCATACACAAGATAAATTTCTATAGTCTTTAGTAGGACTGTAAAATATATATCTTTATCATTCAATTCGTTTCAACTTTCAGATGTTTTAATCCTTCAAATATCCATGTAGTTTGTTTCCAGAAGTCTTGAATGTGTCCATACCATAGTTTAAGCAAAAATTTACATGTAAATATCTGATTTCTACCATAATTTAATACAAGTTTATTGAATTGCCACTCTTCGAGCCAGCCATTGTTTATTGTTAACCCGCATTTCCTTTCCACCCGCAACATTCCTTTAGAGCAAAAGAACCAATCACAATCAACTGCTCAACAGCCTGACCCAGGGCCACTGTGAGGGCCGCCCGAGCTTGGGCCTGGGGACGAGGATGGATTTTTGGTTGTTATCAAAGTATAATACTTAATGGTCTCAGTATTTCAAGCGTAAAATGAGTGGTTATGATAATTGGTCATTAGACGGTTTACGAGATGAATGTCAGGAACGGCAAATAGAATTTAGTTCAAAAGACGGTGTTAAAACTCTGTCTTCAAAATTAAGAACAAATTATAAGTCTGGGTAAGTGCAGAAAGAGGGTAAGAACATCGAAATGGGGACTGACAGAGAGGTTTTGGAGCAATCTAAATTACCATCTAAAACAAAGTGCCCAAAGTGATTTCAATATTAGCCATGACTATGGCGTGAAGGGTGAAATTCCCCAGGATCCCATGAGTTTTGAAAGCTTGCAAAGCCGTGAACAAAGGGGATCCTTAACCTTTGAAGAAAGAATGACGCTATTGCGCTTCGAAAGAGAGATGGCATTAGCGCGAGAAGAATTTGAAGTGAGGAGCGTAGACGACGGGCTAGAATGGAAGACAAAGCGTTTGATTTAGTGTTAGAAAGGGAGCGAGAGAAAGACAAGACATCCTTCAATAAACGGAGAGTTAGGAAATTAGTAGAAGTACGGGAAATGAGAGAAAATGAGGACATTGATGACTATTTTTGCATTTTCGAGATAACAGCTAGAGCACAAAAGTGGAGAGAAGCACGTGAATGTGGATGCTTTGAGTAGGTTGCCATAGAGCTTTAAGGCGCAAATGATTCATTCAACTTCAATAAGGGGAAAGTTTCGTTTCGGCCGCTCCCTCTCATATACGTTCACAGGAGATGTATTCTTGTTATTTTTCTGTAATTTTTTTAAAAAAAGAAAAAAAGAATCTTAGAAAGTAATAGGAATTAAGTTGTAAAAAGATTTAGTGCATGTAATAACTAATTGGATCTATTACATTCGTGATAATATCTTTGGTGGGGAGGTGTAACAAATTATGTAAATATGACGTAGAAATAATTCATGATGTAAATATGACGTAGATGCAAATTAATTCGGTTGCCATAAAAAGGGGCAACCATGTGCTAAAATGAGAGAGAGCCATAAAAGCTTAACGAAGAGAAGTGGCACGTGGTAGAAGTGGTACTTTGGGTGGTGAATTGAAAGTCAAAAGGACTTGATAAGTTGTTGAAGTCGCAAGTAAATGATCTTCGGTGATCGTACTAAAGGGCAGCGAATGGTGGTGTCTTCGATGACAAGCAGCGCTCTGATGAATACGAAGTTCAATATATGGCAACTCAACCGTGATTTGAAGTTGAGCTTGACCACCGTCAAAGATAACTACGAGAGGCTAGATAACTGTACATCTATTCGCCGGGAAAGAAGTGCGGAAGTGCCGTGAAATATTCTCTTCGAACTGCTCGTATGTATTAGTAGATAATTATAGTTATCGTTGTTCAATTCTTCAAACAGTTAAGTAATAAAGTTTTCTTAAAATAAACATTGCTTGTGTGCCGGCGCCCACATTGACGAATTGAGAAAAAATTCGTCACAGGCGGATTTACTGGGGGGTTAGTTGGGGTTAACCCCCCCCTATAATCTCCCTAACCCCAAGGTCTTATAAAGTGTTCAACCCCGCCGAAATTTTGCTTCGCCCCTCCTACTTTGTGTGAAAGTCTTTAACCCTAACCTCTGCCGAAGCTCGGTGGTGCTGCTTGTACCCCACTAAAAATTTTGCCACCCCTCCTTTTACAAAATGAAAATCCGCGCCTTTACAGACAACAATAATATTAGGCCTGATACACTACATTCCACGTTTTAAAACGTGCTGAAAGCACATTTTGCTATAAACATGTAGAATAAGCACTATAAACTCATGCCTTTGGACATCACCACACAAACAAATAAACTAAAAGTAGATTTTCACCACTTGTATATATAAATTATTTAACTATGAAGACGTCGATCAGTGCAGGGTAAATTCTGAAATTCATGATAAATTCATGCTGAATCTAAATTCATGAAATCATAGTGTTCTAAATATAAATGCCTTCATGTATAATACCAAAAAGAAATAAAGCTATCCTTACCTGAATTATTGAAAATATTGTCCATGTTTTGCATTAATGAAAATGTAAATAAGCTCGTATTAACTGTCCCTGAAGAACTTGATCCGTGTGCAATACAAAATAAAGTTTGACCGCCCCCATCGTTTAAAAAGCGTCCTGAAGCCTTAATTATTTCCCCGGAATTACGACATCTTTACAGACAGACAGACGGACACAAAATCGAGATCTCGACAATACATAACTCGGGCAAAGAGACTGGGCACAATAAACGCGATACTTCGTGTTACGAATAGTGTGCTGCCTTCGGCAGCAATTATTCTTCTTTAAAATACAAACATTCGTTAACACTCTGTACACTATCGGGATCCCTACATTGTTTTCAATCAACTTACCAGAACAGCACATCCTGAAGATGATCCTCCAGACATCCTCGAAGGATCCCATGGGTTTCTCACAAGTCCATTTGCAGCCGTGAAACTTCCATCATTGAAGCACAAGTTTTCACAAACAGCTTTGCCAAGAATTCTTCCACCTTCATCTAATACCCGGGTTACAACACTGGCATCAATATCTGGAATATAACCCTCTAGAAGTTGTGATCCATTCATCATTGGAATACCAGCAACGGAGATATTGTCTTTCATTGCAATAGTTTTTCCATGTAGTTTACCATTTGGAGCACCAGAAATATCACATCTCCAGTACCTAGGGGAAATATTACAGAGCCGTTTCATCAACACAAACGTGCTATTTCACTAGGCCCAAAACGTCTAGAGTAAATGAAAATCCGAATGCAAAATATAAAAACAAGAGCAAGAAAGATTGAGTCTTGTTGGGGGTGTCTGTTGAAACACCAAATATGCATCGTCCGCGGCAAAGACTACGACGAAAGGACGTGAAACACGAGCGTTCAAGACTTTGCCTCCGAATTGGTAGCCTCTAACATTATATATAGATAATTAAATTTATATTAGACAATGCCAAATTAATTCTTACAACTTTACCCTTTCTGCTTCTGCCAATCATATACGCTTCCTGGCATGTACGTTGAGTAAATCCTGCATTTCGGTGGCGGCTCATTCAGATTTTTAGAATCCTCGCCATATTCAGTAATTTAGGTGAGAACAAATTTAAAAAAACAAAGAAGGGTCTTACCATAGATATCTTATATACACTAGATAGTGCATCTAATTATTTTGCAATTCAAAAATTGAAGCCGTGATTGCAGACTCAGGATATTCCGATGAAATGAGAAGACTCGTATGTTTTCCATTTCTTAAACAGGGAAAACATTAAGTTAAACCTATTCCAAATATATTTTCAAACTGTTCAAATGATGAAGTTGTTGTTGCTTTTTAAGCGTTTATATTAGCGAGTGGGAAACTTCAACATGGCCGCCATCTATTCAAATGAGGGTAACCGCTGGAATATTCTTGGCTTCAATTTTACTTAAAGAGATGCGCTGTCTAGTGTATATAAGATATGTATGGGTCTTACCAAGCATTAAATGTATTTTCCTCTGCTGCAGGCTTGTTTCCAATTTTACGAGCATACTTTACTGGCAGCTTTGGTTCTGGTAAATTGTATATCGTCTGGAATGTTGTTTTACAATAGTTTGCAATCACCTCTGAAGTAATATATAACAAACGAGAAAGCGTTATTACAGGCGCAGTGGCGGAAATTCACTTTCCCAGTGCGGGCGGGGGGGGGGGCAAAGCCTCCTAAATATCCGACAAAACCATCAAATTTCCGACAACCCCCCCCCCATGCATTTGCACTCGAAAAGGCTGTTTTTAGGCCTCCTTAGATCAAAATTTCCGAAAATTTGTCAATTTTCCATAAAGGGTGGGGGGTGGGGTGGGGGGGGGGCGGGGGGCGGTCGCCGCGCGTAATACTAAAATACTCAAAATTTGCTAATTTCACAGGACTATATTTTCCGTATTTTACAATATTTTTCAACCAAACTTTGCAATTTTACTAATTTTAGGATGTTCTTTTGAGCTGTTATGATAGACTTCGTCCATCTTGTCTGGATCAAAAATTAGTATATAGGAAAAGCCATTGAAGAAGCCCTAATGCTAAGTTACTTGGATTGAACATTACAAATGAGCATGATCTAAAATAGAACTGTCATGTTTCGTAACTATATTTAAAGAATTAGTGTCAGGGTCATGCATTGCGTTGTTTAAATTTTACTCAAATACAACAAATAGCGATAAAAATACCTCGTTTGATACATTTCTGATAAAAATCAGACAAAAAGACCAAGGACTATAAAAGGATGGTTTAAATATATGACGGATTGTAAACACTTTCCAGGCATCTAATCTATTCGTCCATAGCCTGCGTAGCAGACGTTTAGTGCGTGCGGGAGAAGAAAGGGAAAATTTTAAAGGTTCTCCTGATAACTAACTTCATTACTGTTAGTACAGAACATGCCTTGGGGCATAATTAGGTTCCTTTTTGTTTTTCGAGAATGTGTAAAATTACTAAAACTATTCGAGAACGTACGATGCCGGTGGGGTGATTCGAAAGTATATTATATTTATTGTACATTTGTACTATCAGAACGAATCGAGTCCCAGCGCAGCAAAAATCTCTCACAATGGTCGTAAATTCTGAACCAGACTAAAATCGCCCTGTTATATTAAAGATTCGTGCTTCGTGCATGTTATTTTTGACAGAATAACTAAAGAAAGTTTCCATTTTATTACACTACAACGTTCTCGCAACTATATTATGACTAGAAGTTACTATCGCAAGGGAAGTGCTGCCTCAGCACCAAAGTCCTGGGGATTGATTGTTTTTTCCAATAAACTTCATTTACTTAAATTGCCTTATAGACACTGTATGTATGAATTTATTTTGTTTAAGAAATATCGAAATTATAACATGCAATAATTACTATATATACTATTATAACGTGTACTTCGGATTTTCATATTTAAATGTATGCTTGTGATTGTTGGTACCAATGTTTTAACGATCTTCACTTGTCAAAACGTCTAGAAGAACACACTTAGGAACATACACGATATGTCTTTTAACCTGATATGACCAGTTTGTTGCAAGTTTTGATATTCTTTCTTTCCAAGGTAATGATAGTCCATACTGTATTTTCCATTTGGTAAACAAGTCTTACACTATTCGTTTTTTGTCCAATATATAAATATTTCGTATTTATTTAGCATGTACAGGTAGTATCCATTGTTGGCCATCATTATTGTCCAATAACTTGTTAGGTTACTGTACATACTGTATAAAGGTATGTAATATCTTGACATACAATGTTCCTGACATCCATATGGTAGATTGGAAACAAGTATGGCAGAATTCAGATTCCATCCCATTGCATTAGATGTAATATATCCATACAAACTTGTAAATCAGCATTCTTGTTTTAATAGCTAGAAATACATTTCTGTTAATCCAGAAGCTCCCATCGATTTTCATGCGATGTAATATATCCATATTATATTTTGACTTTAACAACCATTTGGTTTCATCCAGCAGTTAACATGGCACCAATCACATCCGTCAGAATTGCAAAACTATAGAACAAATAATTGCCAGCATGAGTTATTTACTTAGAAACATGGTAGCACATAAATGAATGAAAAGAAAAGTAGGGGAGGGGAGGGGTTTAATTAACAAACAAAATACTTACCATTATTTCAACTTGCAAATCATAATATTTTCATACATACAGTGATAACAATGAGTAAATTAGTTATTATATAATAAATTAAATTATTTAAAAGGGTATATAGTCAAACTACATTCCAAAATATAACTGGGAACCATATATGAAATCCCTTTCTTATTCAACCTCAATAGTTTGTTGTTCTAAATGCACTGCTAGTAGCCTGTGCTAACTGATCTAGCCTGTTTTCTTCTTCAAGCCTATATTGTAAGTTAGCTGATGATTTCAAGTTTGATAATCGTTCATACGTCATTGGTTCAATGACACAAGATGCAAGTGATTTTACTCTACTAATAGCAACATAGGAAACTCCAGCAGTTCTTTCAGATTTGCCAATATCTATCCATGCTTTTGGAAGTGTAAGTCCTTGGCTCTTGTGTATTGTTAGAGCCCAAGCAAGCCTAAGAGGTAACTGTTGTCTCTCATGGAAACCTATTTCTGTCTGTGATGTGACAGTGATTGGATATATTGGGATACACAATGGTTGGTTTTCATTAAAAACAGGTCCTCTATAGTTTTCAAATTCTACTATTACCGCAATAGGTAAGTCAGGTGGTTGATGGTTGTTCTGATAGATAATATCAACAACTGTCCCAGTAGCACCATTGCAGAGACCAACATTTGACCACAAATTCATGGTTAACATGACCCTAGCACCGTTTGCTAGAAACACAACAGGTTCTAACCCAGACATATCATCTGAGGATATCTTTTTTGCAAATGCTGATGAATGGCGAGCATTAATATGAGCAACTGGATGCTCAAGTTTTGTTAGCTGCTAATGGTTGTAATTAGCAACTTGTTCATTACTATAAAAGAGTCTAGTAGAATCTTCAAAGTCACATAAATTAGTAACATTCGATGGTTGACGTGTCAGAAGTAACTTCCAGTCATCAACTGTTGAGTTGCCTTTGCGAAGTCGTAATAACAAATCTCTGAACTGTACTTGCTCAGATGTCATACCTTGCACACGTTGATTTACAGTGAGTTTAACAACTTTGTCAAACATATGATATGCTTGATGACCTTGTTCACCAACAGCCTTTGATGGTCTAGCATGGTAAAGAGGTTTATCTGCTACTGGTGGCAATTGACCTGGATCACCAGTTAAAATCAATGATTTTCCTCCAAAAACTTTCTCATTATAACCAGTGGCTTGTTTGCAACGCTTGTCTATCCAACCAAAAGTAACTTGGCCAAGCATGGAGTATTCATCAATAATGATGTATCCAATGTTATTAACACTCTCTTGTAACCTACACAAGCTTTGTCCTGTCAGGTCTTTTTTACCTCTTGATCCTATAGGTAACTTTAATAGAGAATGCACAGTTACACCTCTAATATTATAAGCTGCTTTACCTGTGGTAGCAGTAACAGCACATTTACTTTGCAAAAGATTTCTAATAGCATTAATAAGGTAACTTTTACCAGTTCCTGCAACACCATTTATAATGAGACATAATGGTTCTTTCTCAGATGACGTATCAGCAAAATGAGACTTAACAATGTCTTAAGCAAGTTTTTGCATTTCGCTAAAACTGTTGATGTCAACAACATCATATTGTTCATCAACAGTGTATTCCTCTTTGTT